AATAGAAGTGTCGGCACTGAAGAAATAGGCCCATGGCCTGTTGCCGATTCTTGAATTTTTCGTGACTTGATTCACAAGTGATCCAGTCTTTGGAACCCGATCTTTCCATAACTGACGATTGATTGAGGTCCGTAATTAGGTCACATTCTTATTGCCTGGTCCGTAATTTGATGGGCATTTTAAGACTGAACATATGCTCCTGCATAGCTTCGTCTAGCCTGTTCTTGAAGGCGTTCATATTCGGATCGTCAACGATGCTATCAGGGAGGCTGTTCCACATGTCGGTGACTCGAAGCGAGAAGAAATGTTGTCGCATGGATGTGTTAGTTTATAGCCGTGACCTCTGGTGTTGGTTCTTGTTTCAAATTCTAGTAATCCTTCTGGGACCTTGTATAAGCCATGAGTATACTTGTATGCTTCAATGAGTTCTCCACGTAGACGTCGATAACTGAGGCTTGGAAGCTTCATAATCTTTATTCTTCCCTCATAGGACTTGCCTTTCAGGACTTGCCTTCGGAATTATCCTTTTTCCACGTCTACTTGAACACTCTCTATTAAATTTTTGTCCTTTTCAAGTTTCAGTGACCACACGACGTTTCCAAACTCTAGGTTCGGGCGCTGGCGCGACAGCAACAAACAACTGCTTCATCGCTTCTGCATCTAGGAACTCGAAAGAGCGTCTGATCAGTCCAAGTTGTTTATTGACTTTATTAACTTGACCTTCAATATGCTTAAAAAATTTTAACTCATTGTCGATATAAACTCCTAAATCTTTTTCCATTGACGACTTCGACATCATCACTCTGTCGTTGCAACCGTGTCTACTCATACTAAATATAGGGAAGAGCGGTTGTAAAGGAAGCGCGAACCAACAGATTATATTGCAGTAGGTCACACGTTTTATCCTCATTATATTCGTAACTTCACTCCACTCAATCCTTTGATAAATCCCTCCATTCTCCTCCCCATGGACAGATCACCTACTCTCAGATCACATCACTCTACCCTCAAATCACTCTACCTTCACATCACTCTACTCTCGATTTACGTCATTCTACCCTCAGATCACATCACTCTTCCTTCACATCGCTCTACCCTCACATAACTCTATCCTCGCATAACTAAAACATCACATTACTCTACCCTCACATCCCTCTACCCTCATATCACTTTACCCTCAGATCACTCTACCCTCACATCACTCTACCCTCACCTAACTCTACCCTCAAATCACTCTACCCTCACATCACTCTACCCTCACATCACTCTACACTCACATCACTCTACCTTCACATCACTCTTCCCTCACATCATTCTACCATCATATCACTTTACCCTCGGATCACTCTACCCTCTCATCACTCTACCCTCACATCACTTTACCCTCACATCACTCTACCCTCACATCACTCTATCCTCACATCACTCTACCCTCACATCACTCTACCCTCACATCACTCTACCCTCACACCACTCAACCCTCGCACCACTCTACCCTCACATCACTCTACCCTCACCTCACTCTACCATCTCATCACTCTACCCTCACGTCATTCTATCCTCACCTCACTCTACCCTCGCATCACTCTACCCTCACATCACTCTACCCTCACCTAACTATACCCTCAAATCACTCTACCCTCACATCACTCTACCCTCACATCACTCTACCCTCACATGACTCTACCCTCACATCACTCTACCCTCACATCACTCTACCCTCAACCAATGCACGTCAGATCAAAGCTTGAGGCCCTGCAAAGCAGCCTAAGGAGGTAAGTAATGAGACAGCTCATTAAGCAATGATCTGTGAGAATGCGGGGATTTTTAAGTAGTATCCTTGTTTTATTATTTGCCTTGCAGAGCATGTAATGTCTAATTAGGCGCCAGCACGCATTTTTGCGGCGCACAATGACGCATTTTTTACGCATGCGATCTCTGAAAGGAGAACAGCTGATTGAAATCCCCGGATAATTAACGAAGAAGATGGGGGTCGATAATGACTGCGTGGTGGTGATGGGGGGGGGTGGGGGTGGTGGTTGTGGTGTGAGTGGTGATGATGTCCGGAGTGTTGTGGTGGTGAAGGTGATGTTGCAGATGTGGTAGGTAGAACAGTTTGCGTCTGGTGATGTTATTGTAGTGAAGATGTGATCAATAGAATTTAATCTGCATTTTAAACAAATGTTCAGATTTCAAGATCAAAGGTACACATTTCGTCGTTTGAAACCAGCGTCCTTTTATTCGAATTAATAATTTTCGTCTTATTTAAATTCCAGAGACACCAACATTTTGATACAAAACATGAAAGCCACCCTGTAGTGTACCTCATACGGATGAACATAAAAAGAACCTAGCCAAGCGTGTGTTAATAAAGTGGATTTTCTTCTCCTAACAACATCAAACACCGCCTCGAAACAATCCAAGTCTATGGAAATTATTTGTTCATTATATTTTATTCGAGATCAAACTAAATTTCTGGGCCGTACGTGCGTGTGTCAATACAAAAAATCTCTTTGGAACGCAAACTGCAAAATATAACAAAGAGACGAGCTCTGCACAAGAGACTGCACGTAATGAAGTTACCCTCAATAAACCACGTATTCATAATGTGAGGGTAAGGAGAGCCCTCGGTATCTCTGATACGAGATGCACAGTCTCTGACCTGGAGCCTGTCGAGTCACCGGCGGAGTTCAAAGTGATTCTTCACACTGTATTGTGAGGCGTGTTTGTGAGGGAAAATTGTGAGGGAAAGGGAGGGAGGATTGTGAGGGCAAGTGAGGGAGGATTGTGGGGGAGGATTGTGAGGGGAGGTGAGGGAAAATTGTGAAGGCAAGGGAGGGAGGATTGTGAGGGTAAGTGAGGGAGGATTGTAAGGGTAAGTAAGGAAAACTGTAAGAGAAAACTGTGAGGAAAAATGATTTGTAAACTGTAAGGGAAGATTGTGGCAGATGATTGTGATAAAGTTAACAAGGGGAGGTGAAGGATAAGTGTGAGAGAAAAGTGTGAGGGAAGATTTTCAGGGTAAACTTTGAGAGGGGATTGTGAGGAGGGACTCTGAGGGGAACACTGTGAGGGAAAACTGAAATGAAAAACGCCGTGTAAAAACGGAATGCATGGTCTCCTTTTAAATATTTATAGTTCAGGTGTCAATAATCAAATAAAAACATTTACTAATAAATTAATCATTACTGCGCTCGATTGTTCAATTAAACATAAAAGTGTTTAATGTCATTACCAATAGAAAAAAGGAAACAAAATTTGATTCCTCTTTTTAGATAAAATAAAATTTAAGGTCTTTCAGGTTTTAATTCATGACCAAACACCCCAATTGTACATGCGACTGCACGTTGTCAGCACTACACATATTTTGTACAACTGTGTTCACTGTACACTGTACAGTGAATGTAATTACAGTGCTGCTGCAGTAGCTGCAATAACAGTAGCACCAGCAGCACCAGTAGCAGCACCAGCAGCATTAATAATAATAATAATAATAATAATAATAATAATAATAATAATAATAATAATAATAATAATAATAATAACAATTTTGAAGACTTTGAAGACAGCACATGTCTGTCCAGTGCAGTGTATCGTTGACTTTGTAGTGCAATACCTCATTCTTATAATTGCGATAAGCACTACGAAATTACAATAATAATAAATATTTCATACACTAAAACATTTTAAATTAGACAAAGAGTATCTTTCTGGTATCCACTACCGAACCTGATCTCTAGCTTCAACCTAACTGTAGATAACAAATATATTACCTACAAACAAGTCTGTAACTCCAATCGCGAATATTTTTGACCGGGAAGCCTAATCCATTTTTGAGATAAACTGTTTCCTTTGCAAACAAGAATTTATCAAAAGGATAAAAATATTATCTATAACAAATCCCGGTGAATTAGTCATCAGGGATCATGGAATCCTTATCAGCAGTCGCTGGCTTCCGGTCCAGCGTAAATGCGTTCATGAAAAGCACCGTGTTACACTCACAGCAATGCGTGGGAATTTGTCAAAATATCCATGCAGTTATAGCCCTTTTGTGGGTCATTCTGACCAATTTTTAGCAGACGTATCAGTGTTTTAAATCTTTCAGCTGTTGGAAATGTGTAAATTTGAAGTGATGTTTTTAGTCCGCTTACTGCAGGTGCTGTGGATGAGAAAGTGTGTCAATATTGGGACAATATAACTCATTTTTTATTTTAGTGAACCTTATCTGACCTTATAGGATATACGTTGCATTAGGCGTGAATCCATGAACACGGGGATTGTTTTGGAGAACGTCACGAAATGATCGTTGTTGCGGTGATAGAAAAGTTGGATTTCATGATAGCGTTTGCTGTGCTACATATGACATGCAGCACTAGCGGGGTTTAAATTCTTAAAAGTTTTTAGAGTTTTAAAGTTGAAGTTTAAAGTTTTTACTACTTTTAAAGTTTCAAAAGTTTAAAGTAAAAGTTAAAGTAGTAGTTTTTAAGTAGTTTAAAGTATTTTTAAAGTTCTTTAAAGTTTTAAAACTTTTAGAACGTTTGTAAATAAAATATTGTCCTTCTGGTGCTTGTGTGTCATATATTAATTTAATTTATTTGCTAATTAACTAATTTAGTTCGATGTTGGCTCACGACTAACCTGATTGAATGAAATGTTTGGTTCGTGTTTTTGCTAGGAATCGTAATCTATATATTTAAACACAATTTTTCTTTGTTTCACATATTTTCGGATATTTTATGTATTTTAATAAGAAAATTCTGAAAATTCGCGCATTCACCATCCTTCACAACGACTACAATGTACACAAAATTTGTTATAATTTGGTTCTTATACAAATGAAGTGAATTAAGCGCAGGCAGCAAAAAAATTTTTTTTTTACGAAAGGCAAAAACTCCAAATAAAATCTACTGTGATTACCTATTAGTATTGGAAACTTAAATTTTAAAAACTACCCCTGAAGTGTCACGTGTTAAATAAATGCGGGATTAATAATATTCGCGTTAACAGATAGATTTTATTAAGAGATGCAGCGCGGGAAGTAGCAGTGCGATACATTGTTATTTTAGTCCGAGCACGGAATGAAGAAAACATAACCGTGCGCTGAAGAATACATAATTCAAGTGGTGCGAAACATAACAACTAGATATAAATAAATATATTTAACGTCTTAGATAACTTAAGAAGATGAAAATGTCAAAAACGCATGAAAAATGGACCAAAAGAGGCATAAAAATGCATAAAAAAGGCACAAAAAACATAAAAATGCATATAGAGATGCACGAAAAGAGGCATAAAGAGAGATATAAAAGTGGCATTAAAAAGGCATAAATAGAAGCATAAAAAGATTAAATTGCAAAGATTTGGTACGATTGATGTGTTCACTCTTCATGCCTGTCTTGGGCTGTGTTCAGAGTGTTCAGTTATTCAATTGTGCTGACTAATGCTGTAGTGTGGCAACTGTCGATGTGTGTTTAATTGTGTTTTGGTGTGTCATGTCGTAGAGCATATTTCTAAGGCAGATAAGACACCCACTTTCCTCCTACTGTTTGGTCTTGGTCTCAGGCACACTGTGCAGGGTTTTAACTCCTACTGTTTAAGGAAGACTGTGAGGAAAAACTGTTAGGAAGATTGTGAGGGAAAACTGTGAGAGGGGACTGTGAGGGGAGACTCTGAGGGGAAGATTGTGAGGGAAAACTGTTAGGGAAGACGCTGTGTAACAACGGAATGCATGATCTCCTTGTGAAGGTTTCGAGTTCAGGTATCATGAATCGAGATAACATTTACTAATAAATTAATTGTCTTTGCGCTCGCTTGTTCAAGTAAACATAAAAGTGTTTAATGTCAATATTCATAGAAAAAAAAACAGTACTCACTGCAGTGAGTGACAGAAAGCGCATTTTCTCGTCGACGAAAACGTGAAGTCACGGACGGATAGACAGACAGACGGACGGACGGACATGAGGAGCACAATAGGGCATTTTTCCATAAATGAAAAAATGCTCTAAAAAACAGAATGGATTCCTCTTATTCAATGAAATAAAATTTAAAGTGTTTCAGGTTTTAATTATGACCAAACGATCTCGTGTAGACTAAACGCCCCACCGTGTACACGTGAAATAAAACATACATGTGAGTACACTATGTCAGTACAACACATATTTCTTGCAGCTGTGTACACTGTACACTGTATAGTGAATGTATCTACACTGTTGCTGCAGTAGCTGCAATAACAGCTGCACCAGCAGCAGCAGCAGCAGCAGCAGCACCAGCAGCACCAGCAGCACCAGCAGCACCAGCAGCACCAGCAGCACCAGCAGCACCAGCAGCACCAGCAGCGAGGAAGTTCTATCACTGCAGTGATGGGTCGTCGCCAGAGATTTACTTAAGGAAAGGAAATTAAAGCAAGAGATTCTCTTGATATCGAGTCTCTGAGGGTGGTAGGAGTATGGGTGGGGAGGCAACAAAACCCTCATATTTTTCTGAGTATACACGTATTTTAGTGATCGAGATGGTAATGCTGGCAGCGTTTACATATGCTCGTCTACAGGTGGTTAGGTTCTCTAATGGGACTGAGGCTTCGACGGGTGTCTATTTAATGAAATAATAATTTTAAGTTCATTTCTTAGTTTAAAACATTTCTTCAAGTTTTAAAGAAATGAGCGAGATTTTTTTAGCGATAGTGACACATTTTTTGCCATCATGACATATGATCACACATGTGACCATATATTTATGTCATATATGTCATTATGACCTATGATCACTGAAAGAAATTAGTGAGACTTTGTCCAAAAAGTGATGCATTTTTTTTTGCCACCATAACTTAAGGTCACTTATATGGTCACTTATCCATAGATCAAGAAAAAATCATGATTCCCATAGTAAATTCGATGATTCATATTCGAGGCGAAGGTCGCAAATTTTTTCAAGTCTCCATTAACGATGTTTTCTTCGGTAATGATGACTAATGGAAGAATTTGTTTTTGTTGAAATTCAACAAATTCATCATCCATCTTTACTATTTTCAAAAAAAGATAATAAATTTTTTAACTTATGAATGTATGAATGAATATCTTTCAGGAATGAATACCCGAAATGAATAAGAAAACAGTGGAGAAGTCTTAGCGACATGACCAGAACATTTGCTCCTTTAAAAATAAATAATAATAGTAATAATAATAATAAAAATAATAATAATAATAATTTGGAAGACTTGCCGTACTATAAAAACTAGCTGAAGCACATGTCTGTCCAGTGTAGTGCACCGTTGACATTGTAGTGCAATATATCATTTTTATAATTGCAATAAGTATTACTAAACTATAATAATTATAAATGTTTCATGCACTCAACATTTTAAATTGAACAAAAAGCAGCTCTCTGATATCCACCACCGAACCTGATCTCTAACTTCAACCTAACTGTAGATAACAAATGTGTTACCTACAAACAAATCTATAACTACAATCACCAATATTTTTGACCGGGAAGCCTAATCCATTTTTGAGATAAACTGTGTCCTTTGCAAACAAGAATTTATCAAAAGGATCAACAAATTATCTATAACAAATCCCGGTGAATTAGTCATCAGGGATCATGGAATCCTTATCAGCAGTCGCTGGCTTCCGGTCCAGCGTAAGTGCGTTCATGATAAGCACCGTNAGCAGTGCAATACATCGTTATTTTAGTACGAACACGGAATGAAGAAAACATAACCGTGCGCTGAAGAATACATAATTTAAGTGGTGCAAAACATAACAACTAGATATTAAATAAAATATATTTAACGCCCTAGATAACTTAACAAGATGAAAATATTGAAAACTGTAAAAGAGGCTTAAAAAATGCACAAAAACAGGCATAAAAAGAGGAAAGATAGGAGACAAAAGAGAGGAATAATAGAGGCATAAAATGACGCAAACAAACTTAAAAAAACATATAAAGATGCACGAAAAGAGGCATAAAAATAGGCATAAAAAGAGACATAAAAGAGGTATAAAGAGAGACATAAAAAGATTTATAAAAAGCGGCACACCAATAGGCATAAATAGATGCATAAATAGAGGCATAAAAAGAGTAAATTGCGAAAATTTGGTACGATTAACGTGTTCACTGTTCAGGCGTGTCTTGGGCTGTGTTGAGGTTTGTTTAATTGTGTTTTAGTGTGTCATGCCGTAGTGCGCAGTTCTAAGGCACACAAGGCCCATTTTCTCCAACTGTTTGGTCTTGGTCTCAGGCACACTGTGCAGGGTTTTAACTCCTACTGTTTGGTCTTGGTCTCAGGCACACTGTGCAGGGTTTTAACTCCTACTGTTTGGTCTTGGTCTCAGGCACACTGTGCAGGGTTTTAAGGCACACATGTCGCTTATGGCACATGGAGGTGCAGCATTTCTCATCCTCGGCGCAGTAGCCGTCAGAGGCACACATCACAGCGCCGTCCCCCAGCTTGCTGAGCTCCTCGCCGCCCGACAGCGTGCGGCCCGCCTGGGGTTTGTTATAATTGTTTTTTACATAATATAATCATGTAAATATATCAGTTTACACCACTAGGAGTCTTTAGTATGGGGGAATATCAGGAGTCTTTAGTATGTGGGAATATCAGGAGCCACTAGCATGGAAGAATATTAGTTATATTTCTTATTGAGGATTATTATTGACTTCTAAATATGGGGGAATATCAGGAGCCTTAGTATGGGGGTTAGAGGCCTTTAGGTTAGTTTTTGCCTAAACAATAATTTACTAATCGTCTATTCAATTATACCGCCGTATTACTATACTGCACTGCAGCTCTACCAAACTATAATGCTACCATAATTCCATGTACTATCATACTACTTCGCCACCATAACACTACACCACAGCATCACACTACCACTCTGCCACACGCAGCACGCACCTTCCTGGCCTTAAGGCTGAGGTAGATGTTGTCGCCCTTGCACAGCTGCTCGAGCTCGCTGGGGCAGCGCCCCCCGTGAGGGTCGTGGTCGCCGGGCANTGGGGGAATATCAGGAGCTCTTAGTATGGGGGAATATCAGGAGCTCTTAGTATGGGGGAATATCAGGAGCTCTTAGTATGGGGGAATATCAGGAGCTCTTAGTATGGGGGAATATCAGGAGCTCTTAGTATGGGGGAATATCAGGAGCTCTTAGTATGGGGGAATATCAGGAGCTCTTAGTATGGGGGAATATCAGGAGCTCTTAGTATGGGGGAATATCAGGAGCTCTTAGTATGGGGGAATATCAGGAGCTCTTAGTATGGGGGAATATCAGGAGCTCTTAGTATGGGGGAATATCAGGAGCTCTTAGTATGGGGGAATATCAGGAGCTCTTAGTATGGGGGAATATCAGGAGCTCTTAGTATGGGGGAATATCAGGAGCTCTTAGTATGGGGGAATATCAGGAGCTCTTAGTATGGGGGAATATCAGGAGCTCTTAGTATGGGGGAATATCAGGAGCTCTTAGTATGGGGGAATATCAGGAGCTCTTAGTATGGGGGAATATCAGGAGCTCTTAGTATGGGGGAATATCAGGAGCTCTTAGTTTGGGGGAATATCAGGAGCTCTTAGTATGGGGGAATATCTGGAGCCTTTAGTATGGGGAATATCAGGAGCCTTTAGTAAGGGGGTTAGAGGCCTTTAGTTCAGTTTTGGCCTAAACAATAATTTACTAATCGTCTATTCAATTATACCGCCGTATTACTATACTACACTGCAGCTCTACCAAACTACAATGCTACCATAATTCCATGTACAATCATACTACTTCACTACCATAACACTATACCACAGCATCACACTACCACTCTACCACACTACCATGCTACCATACTACCATGCGCTATCATACTTCACTACCAAACACTACACCACAGCTTCATACTACCACTCTACCATTCTTCCATGTACTATCATCATACTACTTCACTGCCATAACACTATACCACAGCATCACACTACCACACTACTATGCTACCGTACTACCATCTACTATCATATTATTTCACTACCATAACACTACACCACAGCATCACACTACCACACTACCACTCTACCATTCTTCCATGTATGTACTATCATACTACTTTACTACAATAACACTATACCACAGCATCACACTACCACTCTACCACACTACCAAGCTACTATATGCTACTACATTACTATGCACTACCATAACACTACACCACAGCATCACACTACCACTCTACTACACTACCATGCTGCCATACTTCCATGTACTATATTACTACTTAATTACCATAACACTACACCACAGCACCACACTACTACTCTACCACACAGCACGCACCTTCCTGGCCTTAAGGCTGAGGTAGATGTTGTCGCCCTTGTAGATGTTGTAGTATCATACTACTGCACTACCACAACCCTATACCACAGCACCACTACCACACTACCACATTACCACACCGCAGCACGCACCTTCCTGGCCTTAAGGCTGAGGTAGACGTTGTCGCCCTTGTAGATGTTGTAGTATCATACTACTTCACCACCATAACACTACACCACAGCACCACACTACCACTCTACCACACCACAGCACGCACCTTCCTGGCCTTAAGGCTGAGGTAGATGTTGTCGCCCTTGTAGATGTTGTAGTATCATACCATTTCACTACCATAACACTATACCCCAGCACCAAACTACCACTCTACCACACCACAGCACGCACCTTCCTGGCCTTAAGGCTGAGGTAGATGTTGTCGCCCTTGCACAGCTGCTCGAGCTCGCTGGGGCAGCGCCCCCCGTGAGGGTCGTGGTCCCCGGGCACTGAACACATGAAATAAATTCAATTCATTAATTAAATAGACAACGAATTGATAAATAAATCGTTATAAGTTGAGTGTCTTTTCTGAAATCGAGTAATTAGTGAATAAATAATAATAAATTGAATGCCTTTATTGAAATCAAGTTTGGCGGTGGACATGGATTAAAGTGAAGGACATCGAAGTCGCTAAAGACGTGAGGGTTTAGTTTAAGTAATTATTATTTACGGTAATGAAGAAAAATGAATGTGCGAGGTGAAGATTGATTAATTAAAATTAATAAATTGAATTTAAATTATTGTTTAATTATTGATTTGTCGAATTGGAGCCGAGCAGCACAATAGAATACAATGATCAAGAAAACTCATTTTATCTAAAGTTATATGACACAAGTTGCGTTTTCAGATAATGTATTTCTTTTATGAAGTAACAGGAACTAAATTTTTCTATAATAGTGGCACGTCAACTGTCTAGGTGAAACAATCAGGAATTTTTGGTTAAAGGGAATACCGTATGATCATTTTTCAAACATTGAAATAGCTGAATACCTCGGGGACTTATAATAGGCTGAAATACTCACTCTATTGGAGAACTACAGTCCACCGTCCCTGCCAGTCCACGTACGAAGGCAGCATTAACAGTCGAACTTTCGTCAGAATAATAAGCAATTTATTGCTCGATATTCTACTGCTGAAGGCCTTTGAAGCGCTCAGTTAAGGTTTTAGTATAGTTTTTTTTTAATTTTTATTGCTCAATTTAAAGCCAATAACAATTTAAATTTTCGGCAGTTTGTTGAGAATTATAATGTTGAATATTTCTCGAAAAGTCGTAAGTCGCTCTGAAAATTATTTCCTAACATCATATACATATTTGATAATTTTTAACGGCCAACAAATTTTTCGAGAATCCATAAATTACTTTGAAAAAAAAAATCAAATGTATTACGTATAAGACAGTTTATCAAGTTTCGAGGCGTGTCATGGATGACAATAGTCAGGTAATCAGTAAACAATAGTCAGGTTAGTCAGTCAACATTCAGTCAAGACTGTCCCTTATATTCTCACTTACATACATACAAAGTTTACAGCACTGAACAAAAACTAAAGTTAATGCACACACTACAAAGTCACTGTACCCGCTCTGTTAATGTAGAAAGTGTATCATAAACTTTGTAACATCTTGGAGGAATCATGAAATTTTCACGACTTTGAATAGTTTGAAAAAAAAACATTTTTATCGCGCGTGTTACAACATTTTACATTTTGGAGTTTAAAACCATAAACTGGAAAATATTTAGCAAACCCGAGCTTATTGTTATGCACGTAAACGTCATAATAAAGTGAATGAACGTTGAGTTCCTTCACACGGAGATAAAAAATACCTTATATTTATTTCTTCACTGATTATATAAGGCAGGAAATTGGTTATCTTCTTACTTAAATTATGACGTTCATTGTCTGTATCGATGATGATGTCAACCATAGGCATGAAAACGTTATACTTGTGTATTAAAGCAGCTGTAAATATTTTTAGTAAGCACAATGGTAACTCTAAAATATAACAAAAACAAAGAGAAAATATTAAAGTAAGGAAACTTTCCTTGGAGGTGGTCTGGCGCCCGTCAACTTTTGGCGCACGAACGTTGATCAAGTGTATAAGTCCAGGTCTTAACCGCCCAAAACGGTTTAAATTTATTAACCTAACCAACTTAACAAGTAATTACCTAGATAATTATATATGTTTTTTCAACAAAGAGGACTACTAATGAAATATTTGATTGTTTGCTCTAACGAATATCTCATTACAAATAAATAGATAAGGGAATTTATTTCCATCCATCATTACTTTTGTACACTTATTGGCCTCTGGGAGAGCATTAAGTTTCAAATGTCAGTAAAATTCTTACACATTTAGCAACAATGAGTTTAATCCATTTTCCTTACCATTACCAGTAATAGTAAAGGAAATAATACGAGAATAATAGTGATAATAATAATAATAATAATAACACTGTGAACAAAAAAGAACAAGTGAAGAGGAAAGACTCAATTTGGGTGATCATGTTTATGTAAATTTCCACATTGGCTTGTAATAATTTTCAGTTGAAAACCAAACCAAAAATGAAAACATTGTTGTTAGCTCAGGTATTCAGTAATATCTTCTGTCCGAATAATTTCATTATTATGCGGAGGATTTAATTCGTAAATTCATGTACTTGAGCATTGCATGTTAATTCCGTAATATATTAAATCACGAAGTATAACGATCAACAGCCTTAACGAACGATTCAATGGCAGTTTTTATTGTCGCAAGTCCGTCAGCATCAATAACGGCTTGCGTGTTGTCGTCCCTCTCTGTCCGACCCTCTCCGTTTTTAACAGGGATCGATATTAAGAACAAGTCTTCTATATGGCGATTGTCCCGAGGGTCAAAGGCCCCCGAGCCTGGCACCAGCATTGGGGTCCAGTCTGAGGTAGGAGGTACCGGGGACTTGAGAGGCCGGCGAGTCCCAACTGGTCGTTTACGAGTTGCTTGAGTCCTCATGTTGGCCTCGAGTTCGAGGGCGAGCCGATCTATGAGGAAATTTTTGTAGGTCATGACGGTGTATGGCTCGCGCTTGCTTCGTCTGTAAGCAACCGCAACTCTGTCGGCCGCCGGACATCGGCATTCTTCGTTGTTGCGGAAGGCGCTTGGTCGCGCCAAGCATGGACATATTTTTTCTAGTATTACAATCTGCTCTGCGATGGACTTGGGCTTGGCATGTTCAATTAAATTTAAAGGACTGTCAATTAGTACGGAGCCATCTGCTGGTGTACTGGAGACCTGCTGTGGCACTCCGGGTTGGGATGAACCCTCTCCAAATAGGTCGTTCAAAGCAAAGTCCAAGTTTTTTTCTGACAAGTACTTTTTGAATGCTTCAAGGGTTTTTCCTTGAAGGGATGGGATGTGTGGGCGAGGAGTTTCTCTATTTTTTGGAATGTAAATAGGAGTCTTGCTCGAATTCTTCCCAGTGTGGGATACATTTTCGCTCTGGAAAGTTTTGAATCCCGTGTTGCGAACAAACTTTGGTCCGTCAGTTTCTTGGATTATTTGGTCTCCAATGAAAATTGGATTGAAGTCATCCTTATCAAAGAATGGAATGTCTTCGGGGAAAGAAAGAGGCCTCTTATGGGCAGAAGTCTTACTGAGGTTCTTCTTGTTTTCCAAGCCTAAGGTAGTTTCTCGTTTCGAATGATTTTCGACGGACTTTTTCACATTCTTATTCACGGGAAGTTCATCTGACGAATTAGCCAATGGTAGATTAACAGTTAAAGTCTTCTTCTCTCCGACCACCACGCCGAGATCTACATCACCAGCAGCACGTGCTGAGTTTCCTATGTTGAGCGTTACTTCTTGGATTCCTTTGTAGCGAGAATTGACTTCACCAATATTCAGTACTACTTCGGGCGAAGACTTATCCTCAGAGATTCCAGTGGACCCTTTATTCCCTGACAAAGCAACGGGGTTTATTTTGGAAAGCGGTAGATGAGGAGGCGAGAGATGCTCAGGGGTATGCGAATGGAATTTTTGCGTGGTGTGATGACTTTCTAGAGGGAGAAGCGTTGGTGGTGGGCGAAATTGAGACGAAACGGAAGCTGGATGAGGTGAGGATTGCAGTTTCACTGAAGTGGGATGTGAAGTGGGGGAAGGAAAAGGTAGAGGAGCTTGATGTGGTTGATGTGGTGGAGAAGGAGGGCTTCGCAGGTGTATGTGCTGGTTGCCTTCAGCATCAGTGTATGAGAAAGTTTCTGTGTGGGAGAAGTGTGTTGGAGAGTGGAACTGATGAATATTCTTTGGGGGACCATGCAGATTATGCAAACCAGACTCATGTTTCGCATTGTTATGATTATTATGCTGAACAGTGTCATGCAAGTCTTTATGAAGATGATTATGATGACCAGGTCCATTATTGTCACGAGTTTGTCGTCCACTGGAGTCGTGATCATTGCTGTGAGGCTGCGAAGAAACGAATTTGGTGTGACTTTTGAAACCACCTTGCGAGGTTGACTGGCTCACAGGAGGCTGCTGAAGAAGAACGGTCTCGCCTTTCAGTTTAGAAGTGAATTCGCTGGGTTTTAAATCAATTTCTCCCGCTGACTGGACTGGGTTTTGGTTGGGAAAAGTTGAGAACAGCGAGGAAGGACTCTGAAAATTGAAGTTTGAGGAAGGGAAACTCGTTAGGCTTCTGAAAGAGTTGGATGAACCAAAATTTGGTGAGATGGGCCCAAATGAAGATCTTAATAGAGGATGTATTTGGTGGATTGGTTGGGTCAAACCATTCTGGAATGAAAGACCAAAATTGTTGGAATTACCTGTTGTAAGTCGAGAACTTTGACTGAATGGCAAGCTGTTGAAGTTAGAGAGGGAGGAGATTGGTGATGTGGATATACCATTAAAACTGGAAAATGGAGAGATGGGAGACAATGGTAAGGCATTAAACCCGGAGCTGGACGATAGTGGTGATGATGGCAGTCTATTAAAACCAGAGACGGATGATAGTGGCGATGATGGCAGTCTATTAAAACCAGAGACGGATGATAGTGGCGATGATGGCAGTCTATTAGAAGCAGAGACTGATGATATTGGCGATGATGCCAAGCTGTTAAAGCCAGAGATGGATGATAGTGGCGATGATTGCAAGCTATTTAAGCCAGATACGGATGATAGTGGCGATGATGGCAGTCTAGTGGAAGCAGAGACTGATGATAGCGGCGACGATGCCAAGCTGTTAAAGCCAGAGATGGATGATAGTGCCGATGATCGCAAGCTGTTTAAACCAGAGACGGATGATAGTGGCGATGATTGCAAGCTATTAAAACCAGAGACGGATGATAGTGGCGATGATTGCAAGCCATTAGAAGCAGAGACTGATGATAGTGGCGATGATGCCAAGCTGTTAAAACCAGATAAAGATGATAGTGGCGATGAAAGAACGTTGTTGAAACCCGAGGTAGACGATAGCGATGACAGGGGCAACCTATTGAAACTATTGAAGCCAGAAAAAGAGGGTATGGACGACGAAGGCCGATTGTTGATACTGGAGAACGAAGAGGGTGACAAGCTGTTGAATCCAGTAATGGATGATGCTTGTGAAAGGGAAGGCAAACTATTGAAATTGGAGGAAATTGAAGAAATTGCAGGATGACGTCTTAAGCGAAGACCTGGGTCTCTAGGAGGTTGTAGGTGAGGATTAATTGCCTTGGTAATACTGTCATCAACAAAAACGCCATTATTTTGGCTTGGAAAATTTCTTGGAAAGTCAAAAGGAGACACGAAACCATTAGATAGCGGAGAGGGCGGGAAAATTGAAAACGACTTTTCGATCGTATCATTCAATTGAATGTCAGTTAAACTTTGCATCATGGGTGCGTACGGCAGAGGTGGAGGAACGTTGAAAAATTCTCGCTGTTGGTTGAGAAGATGAGGCATTTGGAGTGGCGCAAAGAGTCCGTTGTTCCAATTTCCCAGAAAAGGTGTAAGTGCGTGTGAATGGTTGGCAGTAGCTGGGATTGTTCCGATGTCCTCTTCATCAAACGTACCCAAAGCTGACAAAGCATTTTCACCTGGTGTTTTATCGCTGAAAATTCCAGCTGAATAAGGTAAACTGTTTATACTTCCATAGCTCAGTGGATGAGGTGGAATAAAATTACCTGGTCCCACGGGTGGAAAATTGTTGAAAGGTTGAGGAAGAAATTGACCATTCGAAGACCCCGATAACTGAGGTAAGATGTCATCCAACCGTGGCAGGTCTTTGAGCTTTACTGAAATGTTCTCAACTTCTAGGCCAGAACTGGTCGAAGGTTTTGTAGAGAAAAAGTCATCAGGTAGAGAGGAGGACGAAAAAGACGGCATACTTTGTAGAGCAGCTAAACCATTTTCTTTTCTCCTCTTTGAAGATTTTGTTTTAGTTCTACGTCCTTTCGCTGACCGTTCGGAGGCTTCAACAGGAATTGGATTGCCTTCTGCCTCTCTCTTGGTACGCTTGCTTCTTATTTTAATTTCTTTTGCTGGATCTTCTAGGATATCCAGGCTCCTGCTTTTGGTGATGGCTTGTTGGCTACGGTAAATACTCTTCTTAACCTGTGCGTAGGTTTTCTTTGTCATTTTAGCCTGATGTCCAGTAGATCGTCCATCGTCAGTCGTAGCGTCATCTTTGTCGGCGGAGACGTCGCGCGGTCCCGACTTACTGGTCAGGCTGCCGTCGTCGCAGCAGTAGACGCTGCCGCCGTAGGCGCAGTAGTAGCGGCAGCTGCTTGACACGTTGTACTTCGCCCCGTCTGTGAAATTAGAATTATTATAAAAATATTCTATTTCAATTTGGTTTCTTGTACGAACGAAAAGGAATTGTGTCACAGAGAACAGAAAAAGAAATAAAAAATCAATTCAAAATTTTCTTGAGCGCCCTGAAACAACAAAGGTCGGTGAACTTGACAACACAACTGCACAATGTGCAGTGTTGTGCACATATTAGGAAATAATTCTGAAATGTGTTATAAATGATAACAAATCAATCAAAAAAGCTAATACCAAACATTGGTGTGGCTCAAATCAACCTCAACTTTCTTGGAGCCATAAAAATCAATTCTGAACGAAACATGAAAATAAATAACGTCAATGAAAGTTCATATATGTGAATAATTTTGAAATTATGAAACGTTCAAAGCATACGGCATCTCCCTGAAAGTACGGCACTCCATGTTTTATCTCTGAAAACATATAGGTAGGCTGGATTAAAGAAATAATATGAAAGAATAATTGTGCATAAAAAATAGCTATGTTTTAGTTACACTTTCACAGTGATATGTAATATAATTGTCAATTCCGATCAGCGAATAACCATATGATTCCTTACCTACTGTAAATTAGTGATATCTTATACGCGTTGTTGAGTACCGTAGAAATGTTCACAATTCTACATGAAGTCTAAATTTCCCGAGCTTTAGGCTTTTCGTGCCTATATTTGTACAGAGATTATTTGGTTTGGAGACTCACATCACGTGTTAGTTATTAATTAACTACCTTTAATTTATTGCGAGGTCATAGGCTCCATGTATTCGGAAAGTCTAAAGAAATTTTCACGTGTTAAAATTGTTAATACTTCAATAAAAAATAAAATAAAATAAAATTAAAAGCCTTTAGTTATTATGTTTGATATGCATAATTAAATTTCTACTGAGGAAAACTCATCAACCAATTTCGTTTTTCTTAAGTATCAGATTTGATTCTTCTTAGTATAAAAATACTCTTTTTTACACCGATGAAAATATCGGTTTTGAAGCAGATGGCATGAGAGATATAGCAGAAATTTCTGCAAATAAATCAAAATTATTTGTCAGTACGGTAGTTTCATGAGCATCTTAATTGGCATAAATAAATAGAATATTAATTGACATTATGTAAATTATTTATATTATCATGCAAGGCATGTAGTTTTAGGAATCATGTATCCGATATATGAAAAATGAATGTAATGTAGTTAAGCCGCTCAAAATGTACACCAAGAGCCTTTTTTCATATAGATGAGAAGTAAGAGGATAAGAGAGGATAAAAATGTAAGAGGTAGGATAAGATGTAGGATTAGACCACGCACCTTGCGTTCCATGTTCGGTCACCAACACCTTTACAGCACCATCATCACCAGAGCCATCACCATCATCACCAGGGTTAGCACCATCATCACCAGAGTTAGCACCATCATCACCAGGGTTAGGACCATCATCGCCAGGGTTAGGACCACCGTAACCACCAGTCGTGGTAGCCGCAGTGGTGATATGTTGGTTGTCACAGCAGTGGTAGGTGTTGGTTGCTATGTTCTTGCAGAAATACCTACAGGCGTATGAGCTCTGCAGCAGCAGCAGAGCTAGCAGAGTGAACTGCAGAGTAGCCATGATGCTGGACAGGTTCAACTGCACTCGTAGTTCTGCAAAAAATAAGCGATTATTTTTAAACGAATGAAACTCCGCAAAAAATTTAAATTAATGAAATATCACGAAACATTCACCAGCAAACTTTTGTTTTTCTCGGATTTTTAATAAATTTCTTCAAGTTTAAATTCATAGATTACTTATACTACTGATATAATTGAAGTAAAGTAACGCAAGTGCTAAAAAATGATGAATGAGTATGTTGTTATCTCAACATCGCATAGTCGTGTTACTTGTAGCGTCGCGTCGCACGCCATGCAATGTTACTTTCAACTTCGTATTGCACAATTGCGTATTTCGTCGCGCATCTCAACGGCGCCCGGCCGCCGAGCTCTGGCCAAACTTCCGTCCTTTGTTCCGCGTTTTAGGAGCCGCGCCTCATAAGCAACAATCTCTCACTGAGGTAAAGCGTTGCTGGCAACAATCTCACACTGAGGTAAAGCGTAACTGGCAACAATCTCTCACTGAGGTAAACCGTCACCGACAACAATCTCTCACTGAGGTAAAGCGTCACCGGCAACAATCTCTCGCAGAGGTAAAGCGTCACCGGCAACAATCTCTCACTGAGGTAAAGCGTCACTGGCAACAATCTCTCGCTGAGGTAAAGCGTCACCGACAACAATCTCTCACTGAGGTAAAGCGTCACTGGGAACAATCTTTCACTGAGGTAAAGCGTCACCAACAACAATCTCTCACTAAGGTAAAGTGTCGCCTGCAACAATCTCTCACTGAGGTAAAGCGTGGCCGGCAACAATCTCTCACTGAGGTAAAGCGTGGCCGGCAACAATCTCTCACTGAGGTAAAGCGTCGCCTGCAACAATCTCTCACTGAGGTTAAGCGTCACCGAGCGATTGTCACCGGTTACGTCACATAGGCAAAAGAATTTCTTCGTGTCGGATCGTTATAAAGCAAGAACGTGAAACGCGTAAATGCACTCTCTTTGAAAAATATAATGTTGAAAAAAATAATAAATTGTTTATAGCGAAAAATTATGAAAGGAGTCAATAAATTGCTCATAACCGCGGAATGGGAAACAATGCATTTAATTTAATTCATATTGTATATTTTTTATGATATCAGATGTCTCGCTCTTTAATCCGTATAGCCTTTCTTTACGCATTAATATAGCAGTAATAATATTGCTCAGGTTGTCTAATTATGTACATTGGTTAGTCTCATTTGTACATGGTACACAGTCATATAAATTCAAGTCACAATATAATGATTAAATTGAAATGATAACTAAATTATTTCGAATTCAAGCACCAATAATGAATTTTTTTTACACGCTAATAGAACTGCCACCAGTTTCTTCGTGGCTACAGTCAGTTTATGAAGGTCATCTTCTGAATCCTGAAAATCAATGAAATTAGACTTTGCGAGCATCAGATCTCAGCAGGGCTGGGGAAATTTGTATTATATTGTTATTGAATTTTGCAATCTCGATACCAATAACAGTTTTTAGAATTTTTATTATCGTAAAAATCTTCGCTCGTGAGCTCGTCCTGGTCATGGGTGTATCCTGGTATGGGTGTGTTAAGACTAACTTCTTGTCTGTATTTGGTGAAATAACCTCATTTTATTTTGGTTGATGAAGTTTTTAGGTAAAATTTTTCGACAATGAAAACTCGTTGCTCAGAATTTAGCTGCATTGTAGGGGGAATCTTCATGTTATAAATTTAATAAGCTTTAACTATGAAATATATAAATAACTTTGGTAACATAGATACCAAATAGAACTTGAAGTTATACTCTTTCATCTTGCTTTTATTTCATCTTTCTATGTTTAATACTTTTTGAGTTATAAGCCTTTACCTTTAGCAACTTTTTTGGGGTTACCCTGTATGATCACATCGCCTTCCGGTGACCATGCAGGAGTGACCATCCGGTCATCATGTTATATTTATAGCGACGACTCACCTCCTGTTCCGTTTCTTTGTGCTTACTTGTCAGAATATTTAATAACAGTTAAAACTTAAACGATAACGTGTACAATGTATATGGACTAAAAATAATTATTTTCTCAATGATTTAGTTGATTCGTGGTTAAATGCCGATCGGAAGATAATGGGCTGAGGCTATCGTGTGCGTGAACTATTTTTAAAGCAAAAAAATTGTGGGAATTATACAAGAAATAAATATGATATTCATTTGAAAAATAATTTGAGCCGTATTACCCGTTGAGAAGTCTATTTAATTTGGAGTAAATGTGTTGATAATTCGTAGCAATCAATGTTTATTTAATGTTGTATACGTAAAGTTCCTCTAGGAGAGTAAAAAATCATTCAAGATAAACGTAATTCATGGAACTTCTCATATATATACCGACTATAGAGTTAAGTAATCATCGGTACCCGACCTCGAGCTTGGATATGATTTCTTATAAATGTTGCAATGGAACCATCAATAATTATATTATTCAAGTCCCTTAGACATCAAAGAGTAAGACTTCGCCCAAATAACGAAAAACTTATTTTACTTATGAGGGTCATTCTAACTCAGTGTAACCTGCCAAAACGACCACTTTCTGCTGGTGCTTTGGTAAGAAAGTATTGAATATTTTGATGATTTTAATCAATTTTTCTGAATATTCCTGAAGCAAAAAAAGCCGGCGGGGGACTAGTCGGTCACCGACACGGACCACTGCACAGGAAATGGAGTGTCATTGTTGGCTCAGTCTTCACGCTGCACCTATCGTCCGCAAAACGAATATCATCTTGCATAGCAGAGCAGCCGATGTAGTGCGTGCGGAGACTAAGAGAAATGGAAGAATCATTGTTCAAATAGAAATACACTCTTTAGCCTTGTGATATTTTTTCTGATACGTAGCACTGATAAGTCATTTTTCGGACTTTTTTTTATTAAAATTTGACTCATTTTTATCTAAGTCTGACTCATTTTGAACAAATTCTAACTCTTTTTTAATAAAGGTTGAGTCATTTCTAACAATCTTTGACTCATTTTTAACATATTCTAATTCATCTTATAACAAAGGTTGACTCATTTTTAATAATGTCTGACTGACTTTAAACAAAATAACTTCACTTCTTGCTGTTTGTTTTTTGTTTGTCTGCTACAAACCTTATAATCGATATTTAACACACTTTTACCTCTCTAATCGATCTGAAATTTTGCACACTGGCGTAACGTCATAGACAATGCATGAATCATTTGATAGAATAAAAAATTTTAAAATTTTAAATTTTTTGTTGAATATTAAAAAAATTTAAAAATTAATTTATTTTAATATATGAAAATAAATTTAGAAATTCGTTGTAATTTTAAACGCATAATATTTTCATATTAAATCTGACTGATTTTTGACAAAAATTGATTTATTTTCAATGTCTGACTTATTTTTAACAAAGTCCAACTCTTTTATAACAAATTCCGACACCATTTTATCAAAGTTTGACTCGTTTTTAATAAAGTCTGACTCATTATCAACAAAGTTTGACTCATTTTTAACAAAGTCCGACTCTTTTATAACAAATTTCAAAGCAATTTTATCAAAGTTTGACTCATTATCAACAAAGTTTGACCCATTTTCAACAAAGTTTGACTCATTATCAACAAAGTTTGACTCATTATCAACAAAGTCTGACTGGCTGAGTGCGCACAACACATATCCAACTGAAAAGTGTTGTATGTTTTTACAGCGGCGTCGGAGCGTGCAGCAGGATCGATATTTTCTCAAGCCGGATTCGCAACCGCGCGCGTTTTTTCTTCATATGAAATCTTATAAGATTTCACTCTCACACTTGAGGTGAAGGGCACGTGCTCGTTCTAAATATGGTTATTTTAATGAGTTTGATAATGTATAAAATTTTTACTTTATTAAAATTTAAACAGGAGATGTTTATTTCGTATGCCTCTGAGGTTTTTTAACCACAGATTCAACGTTGAATTTGATCGTAAGGTCCAAAGCTTTCATACTCATTTCAATATCACCTCATGCAATAATTCATCTATGTTCCTATATATGAATTAAAGAAAAAAATATATAGGTATAGACCCCAATCAATACTTTATTTTACAGAATTATTGCCTGCTACGTATTTGGGTTTATAATACTCCTCGAAATACAAATATCCGACACCTATTTCTTTTCCGAATTTTTGTTTTACAATTTCTAGTGATTTTTAACGATTTTTCCTCCATCCTGTTCCTTACACCGGGCTCTCCTATCAAGAGACTCCCCCACGTACACGCACCCCCAACCTATCTTCTCCCTAACTAGCGCACAGATATTGCATCACGATTGGTATCTTGATTTAAATACTTTTTATTGTTTATGATAACATTGTAAATAATTATTATATGTCGATTGTGCATGTAATATGTAGGTTATTGCTGTTGCTGCATATGAAGATTTTTGGTTAGGAATTAAAATAGGGTTTGGAAGTTAAACAGTTGAAAAATATAACTCAGTACTCACTGCAGTGAGTGACAGAGAGCGCATTTTCTCGCCGACGAAAACGTGAAGTCACGGACGGACAGACAGACGGACAGACAGACGGACGGACAGACAGACGGACAGACTGACAGACAGACGGACGGACATGGTGAGCACAATAGGGCATTTTTTCCATAAATGGGAAAATGCGCTAAAAAGACACGAATCTAAAACAGATTTTTTTTAACACGAATTCAGAACTAAAATTTTGTTTGCGACATCAATTGAAAATCAAGAAAACAGCATGAAGTGTGGTTGGCACATCATTAATAAAAGATGCTATAGAGTAAAATTGCTCAATTTATCATGCTGTTAGCCTGACCAAGTAAGTATGAGTCCAATGCAAAACAACTTGTAATTTACAACTTTCCTTGGTCACGTGACACTGAAGGTGAAAGTATTATACTTGCATGTCCTGCTGAGTCATCGTTCTGGGCGAGTTTTTTCTTTAAATGAATTTTGATGAGAATTCTTTCACGTGAATTTATCGATGCGACATAACGATGCTCCACACTTCAAATTCTGCGGCCGACTTTCCAG